AACCTACAATGATTAGAGGTCAATTAGACCTACAACGATTAGAGGTTGACCTCGATTAGAGGTCAAGCTGGCCGGTACTGTGAAGGACACAAAAAGAGCAAAAGGAGGATCAGAGATGACGTTGGTCACCTCACAAACAGGGACATAGCCAAAGCAGAGGAGTTTAATGCCTTCTTTGCCTCTGTCTTCTCTGTCTTGGAGAGCTCTGTCTGCAGCTGACGTATCGAGGGCTGTTGTTCGCACTTGCTAAAGCTTGCTTCTTCCCCAGGTGGTGTCCCCTGCGTCGCTGCCCCGGCCTGCTTGGACCAACAGTTTCACCTGTACTGTGAAGCTGGAGGCTGAAGAAAAAGGTACTTATGGAACTGCTGCCCTTCCCTGTTTTGCAAAAAGTTGACTGCAGTCCCGAGAGGAGGTGTGGACCTCGGGAGAAAATGAGAGCTGTAAGAGCAAGGTGAGGGATAGGTTGTAGGTACTGCCCCACACTGTGTTCTGCCTTCTGTCCCCTGCGTGGGGTCTGTGCTGAGGCCACGGGGAAGGTCGGTGGGGTGCAGTCTGCTGGCCAGTGCTGGTGGATCTGTTCTGGGCAGTCGTCTTTTCCCTCCCTTTTTGAGAGAGGGGTCTGCAGGGCTCAAATGCTCCTTCATCCTCCTGTGTCCAGACAGAAAAAGGGAGCAGAGTGGAACAAAGGGAGGAACAGAAATTCTTGCCACATGGGTGTTTTTAGCTCCTCCTGGTTTCTGTGTACCAGTGCTAGTGCCTTCACACCCCTGTGAACCGAATTTGTCTCCACGCACGGTTCTCCAGCCCATGGTCAGGCTGGATGGCGGCTGGGGACTGACTCCCGCTGCTGCAGCGCTCAGCTCCCGCTGTCGCACGTCTCTGCTCAAGGGAAGCCCAGGTACCTTTTGGCTTCCAGCAAGGAAGCAGGTTTCTGGCTCAGAGAATTTCTCTGGGTAAGCCTCACATTCTCTTTTAACGCTTGTTGGGTTGAGATATGATTGATTTGCGTATTTTCAACTTGAAACCCGTCTTGCCCACGCCGTGAGAAGGCAGTGTGGGCTGCTCCCACACGGTGGCACTGCTTGCCAGGCTGAGGGGCTGCCTGGCCCCTGGGCCTGCCCACCGCTTGCCCGGGGACAGGCCTGCAGTGGGGGCAGTCGGTGGCCTTGGCAGCTCCCTCTGTGGCCCTCTGCACGGGGTGCAGCTGGCTGGTGGGTCACGGATCTATCCGGTTCACCTTCCACTCTGCCTTGCAGGATTTTTGGGGAGAGAGAGGCCGCTGGGTTACACCAGCTTCGGAAACACTGTGTGACAGGAACATCCCTAGCTGTCTCAGAGCAGCAATTCTCCAAGCTGCTTCTCTCATCATGACAGTGGGGCCAAATCCCTCCTGTTGCTCCCGTTTTCCCTGCCCCAGCTCTTCTCCAGGCCCCTCTTCTTTCTCTTCACTGCTGCCATGCTGAACTCCTTTTTCCATGAGCTCTCTGCAGCACATTCAGCAAGCTCCATCAGCCTCTTTGCCCTCCAACCCTGATGTCTCTCACAACATCCCTGTAACTCCCCCACGCTCTGCTCTTTCCTGTGCTCTCTTGTTCCTTGTTCCATTCGCCCAGCGCTGTTGGGAATCCATCTGAGGGCCCGGGCCACGGCACAGACTTGGAGATAGACTTTTCCTTCCTGGAGCCAGGCTTTTGGTTGCATTAGGAGTGGGTCAGGTATCCAGGGCTCTGGCAGGCACAGGATCGGGTCGGGTTTGGAATGGCAGCCTGTCGGAAACATGCCTGCTTGCCATGCTGCGTGAAACATGTCTGGCAGGTGTATTTCAGGCAGGAGAGTAGCAAACTTCCGTGTCGTTTTCCTTCAGGGACCGCAGTCCAACCCCACTGCAGTCTCGGGTGGGAGAGCAAGCGTCAGGAGCATTGTGCTGGAGAGAGAGGCTGACCCGTGAGCTTCCCTCAGCAGCAATCCTCTGCGCTGCGGCAGCAGACGCCTGCCCCGGAGGAGGGTGGATCCCCACACTCAAGGCGCAGGTAGTTGGCTACGGCTGCAGCAGGTGCTGAGCTCGGCTGTGCTGTGAGCTGGCGGCACTCCAGCCTGCTCACCCTCTCCTTCTGTTTTTCTTTTGTTTTTCCCAGCAAGCCCAAGAAGAAATACTGGAAAAGCATGGGGACCTAGTGGAGGCTTCACACCAGACCTGACTTGTCCCTGCCCCCCTCCCTCTCCCCCTCGGAAGTTTTACCTTACCCACAAAGGGAACCCTTCTGCACATAAACCAGGAGGGTATGCCTGCACACCTGTCCGCTCTGTGCCTGTCCTACGTGGTGGCACGTTGTTGCTGGCAACTTGCATGGTGCTGGGTCTGTAATGGGGATGAGAATGGGATGGAGCAGCTGGTTCTGTGACGGGAGGTGTCAGATCCAGGCTCTCGCCACGGACTCTGCTCTCAGCTTCTGCCCTCTTGCCCACAGTGCCACGGAGAAACTTAAGAATTGCGTATGACTGTGAGCTGGCTTCTTGCCTTCATCCTCCACACTTGGAGCTCCAGGAGATCAGCTTTGAGTCGGATCAGGTGGGTGAGATCATGCAGACCATGCTGGAGGAGACAAACCTCGTGTTGCCGTAGTCCCCTCTCCTGCTACTGTGCCTTTTGCACATGATCATTAATAAAACTTTGGTTTCTTTACTTGTGCTCTAGGTCATCTTCTGGTGGGGCAGGGGGTCCTCCTCACCCTCCTCTGGTCTTGCAGGCCCAGCATGGCTCTTCTGTGCCCCATTCCTGGGGCTGGGTTTCCCTGGGCAGCAGAAGCCCAGAGGCAGTGTGAGCAGCAGGGACTGTGGCACGAGCATGGCTGCGAGCACCCCAGGCTGTGTGATGCCTGGCCAGAAGACATGCCAGCAGCCTCTTTGCTGCGCCCCTTAGCACTCTGGCTTGAGTATCAGGGAGATGGGAAGACCCTGAGGGTGGCTGCCTGACTCCTGGTGCAAGAATTATCCCGGGAGAGTGCAGCTGGGCACTCCCCTGTGGCCGTGCTGGTGGTCTTGTGACTGGCAGAGCTGGCTGGAGCAGCATGGTGCGGAGATTCGGGAGTTTTCATGGGCCCCTTCGCCTTGGGAAGCAGTCTCGGTCCATAGGTCTGATCAGCCCACGCAGCAGCTAAACTGGGTCCCTGCCTGTGTTTTCCTCTTGAGTGCGTCTGTTTGTTAAATAATGTAGCGACACAAGGTTCCTTGAACTAAATTTATCTTCCTGGGTAGCTATGGGAACAGGCGTTGGTACGGTGACGCTGGGGCTTGCAGTCAGATCTGCTGCAGGGCTCTGGGCTAGCGTGGCTGAGCCCGGCTGCTCTCACAGGTGCTGTCCTGTGTGGGAGCTTTGCCTTTACACTTTCTCTTTAGGCGTATTTTCTGGGGCTCTTTAGTGAGCAGTGTGACCACGCTTTTAGCCTGGATGCGAGGATGACGGAGTGTTTTGAGGAAGACTCAGGGTTCAAGAGCAACCAGACATGACACAGAGGAAAGATCACACTCAGAGCAAAGGATGCTGCAGCTCCCCATCCTGCCTCCAGCATGGTTTGTGGAAAGAAACTAAGAATCAGACTCATGGAATGGTTTGGGTTGGAAGGGACCTTAAAGCCCATCTAGTTCCCCCCCCCCTGCCATGGGCAGGGACACCTTCCACTAGACCAGGTTGCTCCAAGCCTCATCCAGCCTGGCCTTGGACACTTCCAGGGATGGGGCATCCACAGCTTCTCTGGGCAACCTGTTCCAGTGCCTCACCACCCTTTCCAGGAAGAATTTCTTCCTGATATCCAATCTAAATGTCCCTGTTCTCAATTTAAGCCCATTACCCCTTTTTCTTGCACTACAGACCCTTGTAAAAAGTCCCCCCAGCTTCCTTGTAGCCCCTTTGGGTACTGGAAGGCTGCTAAGGGCAAGTGCATATAGTTCAATATTGTTCAAGCCTGTACTTATTTCCAGCTCACAAACTTCCTCAATCAAACACAGTTTCCTACAGCTATAAAATGACTGGCCTAACGAACCTGTGGAGACCCTCCCCATTTACAGTCTTGCATTCGCTGTCCTTCCCGACGTTCCCTTGCCCGGGTGGTGGGCCTGGAGGAGTGGGTGCGGGGGCAGTCAGCACAGCGCTGCTCCTTGGACTCAAACACTTCATTTATCCCAAAAGGCACGAGGTCACGTGGCAGAAACCAGTGGCTGAGGTGGTATCACCAAACGTGCACTGTGTGTTGCCTGAAGGTCGGCGTTGAGCAACGCAGCTGTGTGGACAGTGCCCCATCCTGCGTGTAAGGACTTTGCCGCGTCCTGGACTTCCGTTGCCGTGTAAGTTACTTTCGCTGGTGCTAGGGGAGATACAAAGGACGTGTCTGTTTTCTCTGCAGTCTGGCTGCTGTCTCTGTGTCTACCCTTCCTGCCACTCCTGATTTCCTGTCTGGTTGCATCCTGTTTTGTTTCCAGCTTGTGTTTGTAGATCTCGGAGCTGTTTCTGTGACCCCTCTTCCCGTTCTCAGATTGTGCTGTTTACTGTGTTTTCAGGTCAGTACTGCGGGTGGTAACTCTTGAGCTTGGAAGTAGGTCCCTTATCTCCCTCCATTCATGGTTTGAAGGTAGCCGGCCTTATCTCCGCTCATGTTTGCTCTTCTGCTTTTGACATCTTGCCAGCTGGTCCTCAAACCCCAGCGCTACGCCCCCATCACATTTAATTTTCAGTAGAGCTGTTGAGGAGACTGAATCTGCACTAGCATATCCCCATGAGTCAGAGTTCCCTTTCACAACATTTGGGACGCTTGCGATTAGTCTTTATGGCTGTGTGAGGTGCAATTTGGGGAGTTGTCATGCCTCTGAGCATGCTGGGAAGCTTTATCCCAAATGCCAGTCATCCTTTGAAGCACCTACCCTGGGCATGGAAGAGACAAACCTTTATCTTCTTCTCCAAAGCTGCTTCTGGAGCAGGAAATGTCCACACTTATTCGGGCTTGATCTCCACGCTCTTCAGAGCATGGATGTGTTGAGCTAGTAATCCCAGCTCCTGCTGCTCCTCCTCGCATCTAGTTTATTCCACCCCCTTCTAACTGGATCTGGGATCTGAACTGTAGCCCCAGTACTACTTGATCTTCATTTTGTGGGTGATTATCCACAGACGTCCCCGATGTTGTCACGTCACCTGCAGAGCCCTCGGGCTAGACCCCGACTCTGGGAGGGAGCCATGGCAGAGCCTACGGAGCTTGGAGCTCCTCCTGGTTAATTCCTGCCGCCCGGGAAAGGAGAGCGCGTTTGCGTGGTGTACAGAAGACAGAGGCTTTGGTGTCAGTGAGAGGAACGGGCTTTGCTGAAGGAGGAGGCGGTGAGCAAGGGGCAGCTTTGGTGCATCAGAGCAGAGCTCCGTGAGCCTGCGGAGCGTGTAGCGTCCTGCGAGCTGTTGGCAGGCTTCGTGCTCTCACCTCCCTGCCTCTCGCGGTACCAGCAAGGCAGAGCGCCTGCTCCTTCCAGCTGCACGTGGGTCGCTGACATCTCTTGAGCTGATGTGTTTTCCCCGGTGTCAAGAAATGACACACAAAGCGGTTCTGTGGTGGAGCGTTTCCTAAAGGGATGTAACTTGGCAAACAGCGCAGCTATTAGTTTTCCTTCGATAAGCAGGTATCAAAGTGCCTGGATTTAAAACTTGGCACTCCTCTCCTGCATCTTTCAAAGCTTGCTGAGCACTGCCTGTGCCAAAAGGTTGATGCTGTCGTAGTCTGGGGGGGTGAAGTTGTGAAGATAATTACTTACTGCCGGCAAGGAGGTCAGAAAAGCATCTCAAAGATAAGGCTGTTTGGCGGAGCTTTCTCCTCCCCGAGCTCTCCGCATCCTCCCCGTCCGTACCGTGCTGTGCCCCAGGAAGTCCTGGGGTGGTACCCAGCACCCCTGGCTCGAGGGGGGAACCCTGGCCCATCCTGCCCTTACTTCCCAGCGCCGGCTGAGAGGTGGGCAGGGGCAGGCAGGAGGTGCGAGGAGTCAGGGAGGAGCAGGCTGCCTTTCCCCTCGGCTCACGCCGCTACGGGCAGTGCGGCTTTCCATCCCGCCGGTGAGCTGGGAGCTTTGGTGCTGTGTGCTGTGGGCAGCCTCTCTCAGCCTTGCCAAGATCTCCCACGGGAAAGGGACAGCTGAGCATAAGCTTGTCTGTCCGTACCGGACCGGGCTGCCTTTGCAGTGTGTTTTGCCCTGGTTTGTCCCTTTTTTCCTCCTGAGTCTTTTACTCAGCCAGAAGTACTGGAGTTGGTGGATTAGATGCATCTGCCTGTGATGAGTGGTAGAATTACCTATTTTCAGTTGCAGACTTAGAAGCCAGGAATCAACCCGTGGGATGCTAGTCACCCTAGCACCTCTGGGAGAGGGGCTGTTTCGGTTTTGGGAAGGAGGCCATAACTCCCAGCAAGAGCCTTGTTTTCGAGCAGGCCCTGGGATGTCAGCTACAGGGACAGGGCACCCATAGCTAGCTCTGTCTGGGGAGGTGGGAATTTAATGTGTGTTCCAGAGGAGGCCACAAAGATGTTCCAAGGGCTGGAGCACCTCTGCCATGGGGACAGGCTTGGAGAATTGGGGGTGTTCAGCCTGGAGAAGAGAAGGCTCCGGGGAGACCTTATGGCACCTTCCAGTACCTGAAGGGGCTACAAGGAAGCTGGGGGGGACTTTTTACAAGGGCCTGTAGTGACAGGACAAGGGGTAACGGGTTTAAATTGGAAGCGGGGATGTTTAGATTGGGTATCAGGAAGAAATTCTTCCCAGAGAGGGTGGGGAGGCACTGGGACAGGCTGCCCAGAGAAGTTGTGGGTGCCCCATCCCTGGAAGTGTCCAAGGCCAGGCTGGATGAGGCTTGGAGCAACCTGGTCTGGTGGAAGGTGTCCCTGCCCATGGCAGGGGGGGTTGGAACTGGATGATCTTTAAGGTCCCTTCCAACCCAAACCATTCTGTGATTACCAGGCTCCTGGCAGCCACAGTTCTTCACGTCTCACTCCCTGGGGCTGATACAGGGGCTTTGTGCTGGGAGCCACTTTCCCCTTCTAGGGGCTTGGCTTTGCGGCAGAGGTCCTTCCCCTTGCCGAGGAATGGCCCCAGTCCCGAAGCGCCTGGTCTCCTCACCTTGAAACAAGGAGCTAATTGTTTTGCCATCTGCTGTCTCTTTGTTTCTGGCCTCCCTGGGCGCAGACAGCCTCTGCCTCCCCTGCCTGCGTGGAGACGGAGAGAGCAGCCACAGGGGACAGCGGTCTGGCCCAGGGTGAAAGGACCTGCCAGTTGGCCATCTGGAAACACCGTTAAAATACAGGTGGGCTGGGAAGAGCAGAAGGCTGATGAGGAAGCAGTCAGTCGTGGGGAAGATCAGAGGTTAATTGCCTCCTCGCCTACCCATGCTCTGCGAGATAGACGCAGTGCCTGGCCTCCGCTGCAGCCTGGGGGAGGATCCAAAGGCAAAGGGCAGCACCCCCATACCTGTAAAATTGTACTGGAATAGCTCAAAGGACACGGGAGCATCATGGTTGTGGAGCCAGTGATGGCTGTGGTCTGCCCATAGCCCTGTAACGCCTGCACACTCCCTGGGCTTCTCTGCACCTTGGAAAATACTGAGGGTGGGAATTGCTCCTGCTCCCCCCAAAAACAGGAAAGAGCTAAAAATTTGGGTAATGAAAACGTGTCTGTCGGAGCAGTCTTGGGAGCACCCGCCAGGTATAGCTGCTGGTGTGGGACTTTGCTCCAGTGACCTGAGAAACCTAGAGAGACGGCTTTTCTAGGAAAGCGA